AACAAGACTCTTAGAAGAATTAAACATGTTGGAAAGGCTTTCTGCTTCAAGACAGGAAAAACCTTTTGGTGTACCTAATGGCTACATTCAAAGAGGTAATTAAGCAACAGCTCTACTTTCAGTTGTAGTCCATACAGTTGCAGTCCATTTTGAGCCTGATCTTGAATCAAATTTGTTGGCCTGCATTGTATGAAAGGTGATCGTAGACAGTGGAAACATCTGTCCTGGGCCAAGCACCTGATTCATTAATGGAATGTTGAGAGAATTTCCTACAGCAGACGATGGCGTAACTGTTACTGAAGACTTTTTGATAGCTAACTTTGAGGCAGCATTTACTGACCCTTGACAGAGGCAAAACACAAGACAAAATGGACAAAGTGGTCCGATCAATTATAATGCTTTCTTGTCCTTACTCTTTCTTTTTGGCTACCTGGAAGTAGCTGTCATTTTAGTTTCAGAGGACTTAAACACTCTCTCCAGCCACTTCTGCATCCTCAGTAAGTTTTTGGGAAGGGGAGTACCTGTGGGTGGAGAAGAGAAGACATCTTTGCATGGCTATGGGGAGGGCTGGGCTGGCAGTCTCCTTAAACACAACAGATTTTCCTGCTGTGCCTTATTTCTGTGCTGCAAAGGAGCGGGGCGGGGGGAAGGTTTCCCCAGTTTAAGAAGATGCATTAAGAGAGTGGTAGGGTAAAGGAGCCATCAGAGGGCTGCGTTGGCAATGTCAGTTGATGGGGAAGATGAAAGTGGCCTTTGCTCCCGGCTCCATTGTGGACTTGTGTCAAGGCATTTCATTTTTCATGTGTTTCAGTTGGGCCCCCATAAAGTGCAGCCAGTGTGAGACTCGTCTGTGCAGTGCTTTGAGCACAGCGGGAAAAATGTGTTAGGCAATGAATATTGTCATAAGGAATTGCCTGCTGCCCAACAATATTACCTCTCCAACGTGCCTACCTCCTCTTTTCCCGTTCCCTCTCCACGCTGAGATGTCAGGGCATCCTCAGGGACTCTTCTTCTTTAGAAAATAACAGGAGCTGCAGAGCACTTCAAAAAGTCTGGCTTTGTCCCGTAGGTGTCAAAGAAGGACCTCAGGTTCTTGGAAAATCTGGTCCCAAATGAGTGTAAAAAAGCACATTTTGTCAGGAAGTGAATAAAATCTCACTGAAATTAAGCCAGGGACAAAGATGAAAAAGCAGATGGCCCATGACAAACTGTGAGAACAAATTTGTTCGCATGACATGGGAATAAGTATGTACTCATAACAGACTATTACTCAAGAAATTTTGAAAGAGCACAACTCCACAGGAGTCATAATGTGATTAGTCACATAAAGCCCAGTCCAGCTAGGCCTGATGTATTGTACCTGAAAGAAAAGAAACAGACCCCAAAACAGACCACAATTAAAAAAAAAAAAAAGAAAAAAAAAATTCCAAAGAGATGCATGAGATTATGAAGTCATAAAAACTCATAAGCGAATTAAAATCTGTAGAGTAGCTCATGAATTGTTATTAGGCTGCTTAAAAAGCAAGAGGCAAGAGAAAGGAGCCTTGCTGAAGTGACTCAACCAGTAGGTTTTTAATCTGACAGCACAGAGACAGAGTTTGGGTATTTTTGGTGAAATATCTTGGACTCTGGGACAGACTTTGCCACGTGCCCCATTACAGCATGTTTCTGGTAACCTACAATTATTTCCAAAATCCTTTTTTTTTTTTTTTTTAATTGTAGGAGTGACGGGTGAAATGGAGTTTGAGAACTAGAGGAATAGGGCTGATTTCGAACACTGTGAACTATTAATATCTTTTTTCAAATTAATATTTTGTACAAAACTCCTGAGCTTGAGTGGGCATATTTAACTACATGAAAACACTTTTATCATTAAAGATTGCAGTAACTTGATATATATGATATTTGGGAATATTTCCATGTATGCAAAGAGGAGTGGATTCCTAGGATATAATTGTAATTTGCTTTATCTAAAAAATAATTAACAATAAGCTTGCCCAATGCTTTTATGAATTTTCTATGCATTTCTAAGCTGCTCACCCAAAAGCAAGTGAATATTCAGAGCTAGTTTGCATTCATACAAAAAAAAAAAAAAAGATGCTAGGCAAAATATCTAGAACCAAATTCAGTTTCTGAAATCACACATGTGCAAACACCGACCCTGGAGTGCTCACGCTGATGTTTTTTTCAGACCTATTCTAATGCAATGTCCAGTAGTGTCTTTACACAATGCTGTAATTTAATCCCTTCTAAACTTGATTTACAGCTGGAAGCCCTTCTAAGCTTGACTGCAGACCAGCAGTGGGAAGCAATGCCACTCTGTATCTGAACCAAACCTGAGCAGCACAGGAGGGATGGCTTCAGATTCAGATTCCAAAGATGGACTTTGCCCGTGCAAAAGCAGTACCGCCCTCGCTTACACAAATGTTGCTATTGGACTTTCATTTACCACAAGCTGTTAGGACTTTAGTTTCACTTCTTACTAGAAAGAGGAGGCAGGCGTATATTTAGACTTTCTTTGGAAGCAGCTGCAAAATGAAGTCGGAGTGCGTGCATGCGCTCGGTCTCACAGGCACACACGCAGACGCTGCTAGCTTTAGACCAACTTCGTAAACCTGAGCAGAAAGGGCAGTGCACAAAGACCTCCCGCAGCTTACTGTGTCATCGAGGGGACTGCATTACTCATTTCAACATCTTAGCATCTTTATCATCCAAATAGGTTGGCTGTTCAGTGCTGACTCGCTGGAAAGATTATCACCTGCTGAACCACCAGCTCATTCCTTGAAGCACTCTAGGGGACTAAGTCTCTATTCTCTTGCACCTTAAACCTTATCTCCATGGTTTTATGCCTTCCACGGGAACACAGAGGCAGCACTACCCATCTACTATTCTGATTTGATAGGAAATTACTTGCATTATTTATACATAAAGCGAGGAATGCAGCTCACTCAACTTCAGCCATTTAGAAGTTAGTCAGCCCATCTAAGATAGTTGACTTAGTGCTACAAGAAGTGCTGGAAAGGGAAGACATTCCAGAGCATGATCCTCCCACCCTTCTTAGGGACCTGATAGCTTGGGATGTCTTGTCCCCAGAGGTGCTTCTTTCTCTGCTGGAGCCTGGAAGACTGCCTTGCAGTAGATGACAGCTAAACGGCTAATGTTAGATGAGCTGAATCCCATGCAGTGTGATAGCCAGTGGAAAGTCATGCCCCTGCTTTTCCCTCAAGGTTTCTTCTTCACAGACCTTTCCCTTGTTTAGCTGACAAAAGACTAAGAAATCAGAGTTTGCAGCAATTTGGCTGCAAGGCAGATAAAATCAGTAGTCAAACAAAAGCAGCTAAGATAGCCAAGACTGCCTGAAAAGTTAAATGCATGCTCTTCTCATACAGATGAATGCATTTAAAGTAACTTTAGTTTCGCCATTCTCCCAGGGCAGCCCATTAATCTTTTGGTAACATCCATCATCATGGGCAGGACAAGTACGAGGGAATCCTCTCCTGGAGGTGCTCCTGTGCTCTCTCTCATTACTATATCACCTGGCCTATTTACAGTCCTGTGTGTTTTTAACATCCCAATGTCCTCTCAGAGGTGGCAGTGCAGAAGTTTTCCCAATAATTATTTGCAAATAGGTAACACAAAGATGTGCCACTGTTTTCTCTTTGGGAGATCCGTAGTAGATCAGGAGGGTAGTGAATGTCAGGCATCCACTGTTTATAAACTGGGCATCCATCTTATTTTTATGCACCTGGTATAGGAGTTATTTTCTGAAATGTAGGCATTTTCAGTGCATGGCATCCACAGCCAAGTTAGTTACCCTACATTATTCCCAGCAAAGAGATGAGGACAAATATTTCTCATTCTAGCAATAAAGAGGTGATGCTAGACCTATTTAATCCACTGACTATGAAGAAAGGCTAGGGAATTAGATAAGATGTAGACATCTATACTGTAGGCTGTTAAAGCTAAAGGTGACCTGAATCCCATCTCTGTAAACCAATCCTCCTGAAGGATGAGGCCAAGCTCCCTACGCACTCAGTAGAAAGAAGTAAGTGACTCTGAGGTTGTTCAGAGACATACAGCCTTCCCTGACTAAGCCTTCCTTTTGGGGGCTTTCCCTTTCTATACAACACAGAAAATGCAGGTGCACTCATGGAATTTCTTCACTAGGCACTTACAGTTCAGTTGTTTAGATGAAGTGGATCCCAATCCAGATTTTCTGAGTCCTGGATTAACTTCCCTAACTGGTGAAATAACTTTTCTTCTAAGCTACAAGCCTGCCTTGAACAGTCAGTCTTTGCTTGTGGGAATACGGTACAGTACCTACCCATCTTCTGTAGACTGGGTGTACAGGACATTGCTGAATGACCATGCACAAGTGGGTTGATATGTTTTGGGAAGGTCGCTGTACTTGTCTGAGCACCTCGTCTTCAACATCTCTCTTCTCTGCAGGCATCCATCCAACCCCACTTAGCTACAGCTCTGTTTACGTGCAGATCTAACAGCCCCAGGAATTCGTGTGCACCTGGATGCTCCAGTTAAGAAGACTCTCTTTCTGCTGAGGCTGTGCAAAAAAGTGAAAAAAGCAAGCACTAGAGTTGTGATGAGTTGTAACAGTCAGATAAAACAAACAGAATTAGAGGAAGGAAATAAATAGAACCATCCTGTTGTATATGATAAGCAACTGTAGTAGCTTGCTCCATGCTTCATTGTGCTTAGGACTTCCCTATTCTTGGGCTTTCTCAAACATGCCCGAGCAATTTTGTCCATGGAGAAAAAATTATTGACCCTAGCTGACACTGCTTTGAGCAGGGGTTTTGACTAGACTGTTTCCAGAGGTCCCTTCCCACCTCAGCGATGCTGTGATTCTACAGTTTTCATCATCAGTTTGGGTCTTTGGATATTGAGCAGCGGGGTCAGACCCCATCCAGACAAGCAGTCGCTGCACAATGTCAGCTGTGCACATAGCCAGCCGTTGATCTGAGCCATGCAACAGCTTCCACATGTCCTGGATACGTCAGGATCCCTGTGCGGGTGCCCAGACGCCCATGTGGAATTTCTTAGATGGAGGTATGGGAGCCTGATCAAGCTGAGCAAGATGTGTTTAAAAGGCTGCATGGCATAAATAAATCTTAAGGGGAGATTAGGGGGATGACAAAGCTGTGGCTTCTGATAGGGAAGCCACGCTGTTTGGAAAGATTGCAACTAAAAAGGAGAGCCTTTGGCAACCAGATTTTTGTCTCTATTTTTGTATTAGTTACCGCTCCTTGTATTTTAACCCCCATTACTCTTTAACCATTTAAGAATAATTTGTGACAGTTATTTGTCTAAACCAGATTACCTCAAGGTTTGTTGAGCTTCCTCTGCTCTCCGATGTATGGAAAAACGTTACACTTAATTTGGTTCGTTTGGCCAGTGTGTGAACAGGGATTAGCCGTGCTATATATGGACCATAAACACTGTTCTGGTTAACACTACGGTTGAGCCAAACCTGAACCTTTCATCTCACCCTTTGCAAACTTTGGTGGTTTGGATGGAAATGGAACCTGTATTCGAGCTGTGCTTTATTTTTTGTTTTTTTGTTTTGAAAAACCAAAGCCCAATCAATAACAGTTTGGAAACCCAATGTCCAACATCCTCAGCCCACCTCTAGTGAAAAGGGATCGAGCGCCTGTGTAGGCAAGGACTTTGTGTTGGGAAGAAAGCCAATATACAAAGGAAGGAAACTGTTTCAAGGAACCTGCAGTAACTTTCCGTAAAAATCTCAGGGACATAAGAGCATGCTGAATTTTGTGTCATAATCCCCTCCAACCAAAATGTGTGTTTGGTTAAGGAAAACATGGTGGTCCAATGTGGGACAAAGATGGACTTTTGTTGGCTGCATGTCCAATTGGTTTGGTGTTAGAAATGACGGAGAAAAGCCCTCATTTGCTTTTGACTCACAGTTTCAGTTTGCTATCTGGAACACCAAACCAGCCAGTAATGAAAATGGATTTCTCACATCAGATTTTTTAGATGCCAGAAATAATAATAGTATGGTGTTAACACCTTAGTACTTGGCTTTCTCTAGGTTGTTTTAACCTAGATAAATCTATTAATTTGTGTCTTTGTATCCACAGCAGTGCCTTAAAATTTGCACTTAATTGCAGCAGAAGTAGTTTTAAAATCCATCTGTCTTACACTGACCATTCCTGTAGCATCTCACCACCTTCTGTATAATGCGTTCCCAATGCTAAAATAAAGATCAGCGGCGTGGTATAGTAATTCCACTTATGCAGATACTCGAGGCTGTTGAAAGGCTAACATTTCCTATTACATTTCTGGCTTTCAGAATTATTGTAAAAATAGGATCATCCTTACCATACAGTATTTACCAACCAAGCACAGCGGGTAGAGCACCTTGGACCATAGAGTGGCTCTCCAAACCTTTGCATGTTCCCCAGAGGCTGCTCTGTCATCCTACACTGTATATGTTGAACTCAGTCCAAGCAAGCATGTTTCTAATTACTTCAGTGGACATTGGATGAGGTCCACTGAACTGCTTGCAAGGTAGCATAGGTGTCAAGCTGGGACACACAGTGTCAAAAACTTCTTTCTCAGTCTCTTTGTTGATTTTTATAGCTGAAGCTGCTAAATATCTACAGGCAGGGATCTATGTCTAATTTTAATTGTGTGAACTCTGTCATGCTTCCACATAAAAAATAAAGCTATTGAAGAGTTTAAGCCACGAACTAGCTCCTACTGTTTCTGGTGATGACCTGTCCATTCAAAGCAGAATGCTGAAAACTGGGACCCTCTATGAAGCAGTAATTAACTTTGGCTCTGGCAGCAGCTGTCCAGCCCTCACATCTCCATGGGAGATCTGAGTCAGTTAGGACATTACCATCGTTCCATGACTGGCCAGGAAAACACAGTAGGTGATTCACCAGCTAATGCATACCTATGAGATGTCAACCAGAAAAATGTTAAGGCCTGTCCACAGGCTTTATGAAGAATCAGAGTGGAAGGATACTTTAGATTTATAATGTTAAGTTGCATGTTTACCTACAGCAGGCTTTTGTCTGTGAGTATGTCTGTTCTTTTCTAATTGGCCTTACAGAGAGTACCACTGTTCTCCCTTGAATCAAAAAGGCCCGGTCCCACTGAAGTGACAGCAAGCAACAGTCCCTGTATGTAAGTATGTGTGTGAATCAAGGCTCATGATGTGTCTTCCTTGCAGACTCAGACCCTTGCACACCTGACGCTCCACCTGCTGCCACTTCACCACCAACCTCTGAAGAACCTGGACCTTTCACAGCTCCAGCATCACCCTCCTCTTCCTCTGACACCGGTACTGTGTCATTTTCACCACCATTACCTGCCTGCGTTGCAGCCCTACATCCCAAACCACCTCCTGTTCCACCATCGACATCAACTTCTGCTGCCACTGTTCACCCTGGACTCCCTTCTCTTCCCGCGCCACCCGCCTCTGCTCCATCCCTGCACCCTGGACTTTATCTGCCGGTGGTCCCACCCGGCAGTGCCACCCACCTCATCAACTGGCTGCCCTTCCTTGCTTCTGCAACCCTCGCCACCATTCGAGGGAAGGAGGAAGACCAACCACCCATAAGAACGGGCTCCCTGGAAGGCATGAAGCGCAGCAGCAGCACACCCCCCCACCCCTCCCACGATGGAAATCCCCAGGCAGCACCTATGGGAGACAGGGCTCCGGGGGCTGCTCCCTCGCCGCCAGCTGCCCACGCCATGCCCCCGAGCTCCGAGCAGGCGTCGGCGAACGTGAGCGACATCCTGGCAGAGCTGCGGACGATGAACAGCCACCTCTCCACCATCGCCCGAGCCCTGACGCAGCTGGCGTCGTCGCTGGCACCGCAGCAGGACACGCGTGGCACCCCACCGCCATAGCGCCGGGCTCTGCACCCCACGGTGGAGGGCGGGTGGAGGAAAGGGACCCGACCCAAACCTGCCCATATCGTCTGTGCCAGTTCACTGCACTCGCCGACACCGACCACGTCTCCCCAGTGGGTTTTTCTGTTTGTTTGTTTATTTGCTCCTTGTAAATGGCTGCCTATATTAAAAAATAGTTTTGTGGTCTTGTTAATAAAATTGTTTATATTTCTTGCATTCCTTTCGGATGTGCTCGCTCCCCTCCTCTCACCCATTAACCACACGAGCACTGGTAGGAATCGGTGAGGTCTCGCACAGAGAATGCGGAGAATCTGAAGCGGTGAGAAGTTAACCGTGACAAAATGCTTGAGGAGGTGACAAAACCCCTCTGAGCAATGTGGGGGACACAGACAGGAAAGAACATAACAAAACCCTGAAAAATTCTCCTATTCTTCTCCATCCACACTGCATGGCACGGCTCTGTTGAAGTTGGAGCTCTTCCCAGTGCGCTAAATTTCAGGGGTAATTGTAATTACTGATGCAGGTAAGGGCCATAAAAAATTGTTCAGAATACAATGCATGGTAGTTGTCTAAGCAGTACTTGGTCTGAACAGCTACCAAACAGCCTCATCCACCTCTTGTCCTCTGAGAGAGTGTGAACCAAAGGCACCGCGTATCTGTTTTACTTGCCAGTGGTGCCTGAGGTTCTTCAAGGGCATAAATGGGCCAAGCTAATTTACAGCAATTAGCCAGGCACACGTGGATAGATCCCAACATTTCACCATCTTTTTCCTATTGCCAAGCTGCAGCGGCTTGCCTAAAGGTGGCATTGAAGGCGTGAAACCTCAAACAATCCTCTTTGTGGATGGGGAAAGAGCTCTTGGGCACGAATCCAGGGCTCGCCCCTCCAAGATGCGTGACCTGGAGAGCGGCTGGTGAGGTACCCTCGGACGCTGCCTGTCCCGACAGAGGCACCAGAGCTGGGAGCCAAAGGTCGGGATGTGCTCGGTGCTCTGGAAGAGCCGCGGGAAAGAGGACTCGCAGCTCTCGCAGAGCCATTTTGTGCATCTCGGCCGCAGTCTGCCCATAGAGCAAACAACCATCGGTCAAAATAAGATATTTTCCCAAAGGTGGGCCAAGCACAGGGCCAGTGGAGGCTGAGGCAGGCTGTGTGGCTGCTCTGCCTTTCATCCCAATGAATTAAAATGAAACAAATGCTCGTGGCAAACGAGAGAAAATAAAGGCCTCTGTGAAGTTGGGTATGATCTCGCCTTAATTTAGCCGTGCAGCCCTCAGATATCAAGATCTGAGGCCATCTCTAGGAAAAACCCAGACGAACAGACAGATTGCTAGATAAGATTAAAGAGGAAGTATTCTGTCTATTTGCAAATATTTCTGTTACAGATGAGCCTAAGCCACAAAGATTGAATGAATATACAAGCTTCCCCAAAGCTCAGGTGTATTTGAATTTGAGGTTTTGGTTACTGTATATATATTTATATATAAACCTACCCATATTTTTGAGTCTGTGTCTGAAAGACAAAGCAACTGTCCTGTTCGATTGTGGTTTTTTTAAGGGCTGATCAGATTTTTTTTCCTCTGATGTGTTTAGCAAAAAAGGTGGAAAGACATTTCACAGATGGCCTACACTACCTTTTAGTTTTATGTGTTTCAACAAAAGGAGATAAAAGGAGTGTCTTAAAAACATTTTGGCTTTTGATTTGACTATTGTAGTTTCCATAGACTAAAAGAGCAAGAGTATAGAAAAGTTTATCACTTCTCCTCCTTCATTATGAAATATAGGACAGAAAAGAAGGCGGAAAGCTCTATGGTTAAAAAAAATAAAAGGAATATTTTTCATTTTTACCCATCTTTCCCTCTTTCAATTTAACATGGTAGTAAATAAATAGCATATTCTCCCAATCTTGATAGTGTTACTTGATTTATCCTGTTGTTTTCGAATAGTAACTTTTCATGGCCTAATACTGATAGTATTTGCAAGTCACGCAGCCATATTCCTCTATATAGATAACTTCAGAAAATCCTGCTGTGCAGCTGCTGATGCTTTATCAAGCAAGGTTAGGGTTGGCTTCATTTAGTTGTCTAAGGGATTTGGGAACAGTTTACACGGTATGCAAATCCAGAAAAAGCCTGAAAAAGTTGCCTATAGCATTAGATATTCAGCTGTGAAGGCAATACTCTTCTTTCTCAAAGATACCATGAATGTGATCCAGCTGGCAGGGAAGGAAAAATGCTATTCCTGAGCCTCTTCCTAATGCAATCAGATTTCTGTGGTCCCACAGCTAAAGATATTAGATGCTAAACACCCTTGCAGTCTAGACTCCAAGCTGTCTGGTCCTGCAGCATCCTGACAACAAAGCAGGACCAGAGCCCATAGCCAGAACTAGCAACTTTCAGATTTACTTGGTAACCGCTGGCTCTCACGTGGGCACAGCAACTGGCTGCAGAGCCGACAAGACAGACAGAGGCTGTTTGTGGCTGGGGTCCGGCCGAAACGTGCACGTCAGCCCCGACCGACCTGAGCCAGCCTAAGCCTGCCCAACGCTCTGCTAATGCTGCGGCCGCAGGGTCCGCTTCTGCAAATTCTCGTGCAGGGTTTGTCCGCAGCCCATGCTGAGCCAGCTGGTTAAAACCCAGCTCAGGTATGTCTGGGCAGCCCCACCGTGGCACAAAAGGGCTTCACTGCTACGCAAAGAGGGGTCCTGCCCGTGGGCATCTCATTCAATAATACGCGTTATTCTCTACTCAGTGCATTCAATAGACTCGTGCCCCTTAGGAATTATTTTATTCGTTCAACTTAATTGAATCACTTAAGCACTGCAAGAAACAAGTGGCTGCTCTGACTGCATCGCTTCGATGGCAAGAAGGCTGCCTCTGTCTCAGGTTTTGTTTGCTCTTCTTGGCTTCCATCTGCAACCAGCCAAATTTGGCTTGGTGCTGCCAGCCCCGCTGCCGCTTTCCGATTGCTTAGCAGCGTTGCTCGCATTGCTGAGCCGCTGCCGCACACATGGTACTCAGCTGGTCGAAAGCTGGAGTGCAGCTCACAAACAAAAGTCTCCTAAAGCATCTGAAGCCAGCAGCAGAGCAGCTGAAGAAGGACAGAAACCCCGGTGCAGCTGGCACCGTCCCTGCACGGTGTCCCTGCAGTCTACCAGCACCTGCGGAGATATGGCATGTCCAGGCTACTCCGATGCGGCGGAGCCTCGTAACCCATGGCAAACGGTTCAAGAGACTTTCTTCTCTGAATTATTCATCTTGATTCAGCTCAGAGAGCTAGGAGCTGAAAGTTATAATGTCTTGGTGTGTGTTCAAAGTCCCATGCAGAAATAATATCATGGGCTCACACTCCAGTGTCTGTTAAATTATTAAAAATCCCCTGCTGGCCTTCTCTCTCTTGGGACATCTTCAGTCTGTCCTTCTTCCTCCTCTTACAGCCTTGTTATTTGTGAAGGTGGCAATTTATAGGGCAAGATTCATTTTATAATTGACAGATACTTCTTTGGTTTTCTACTAAAAAACCCTGAAACACTCCGGATGAGCAAAATTTAAAGGCTAGAGGCCAGGTTGTTATTCTTAGAGGCAGCACGGGTGATCATCACAACCCTTTCTGGCTCCACCATCAAAATCCTAAACACACCGATCTCATGTTTCACAGCTGCTTTATAAACAAATGTTGAGGGTGGGTTTCAAGTCACCACACTTTAATTATCTAAAATTTGGTTTTGTAGATTCCTCTACAGCCATCGGGAGGCAAGGGCTTTCAGCATGGGATTCATCCTAGCCTAAGAAAGGTATTTAAAATAAGTAGGAAGACTTCAGACAGTGTCCATCCCTCTCCCCTAACTATAGACAACTGGTTTAAGCCAGATGCTTGACTTCTAGGTGGCTGGAGGCAAATGAAATGAATCCTCTGTTTGGTAATTGCAGTTCATTTCGAACTGGTGAAGCATCAATATATCACATTTATTTGAGCCCTGATAGATGTGTGAGGAGCTGGAAGAGGGTAACTGGGAGCTCAGGAGAATAGGACTGACAGTAAAATTGGAAACCCCTGCAAAATATCCAGCTCCAGCCCCACACCAGGAGTTATCCTGTGCCAGGAGAGCACCCAGAGGGACACCCAGGTCATTCCCTTCTCCCAGAGATTTAATTCCTCAGGATGTGGAAATGGAAGCTAAACAACTTCATGAGATTTCAGTGATGTACTCAGTGTCTGCTACTCCAGCAGGAATTATTTAAGGAGGCAGCAGGCTGTACAATATTGTATTAGACTGCAACTCAAGAAGGTGGGAGAAATCGCAGGTTTACCCAGGAGGAATAGGAAGCCGGGTGGTTTTTCACTTTTTCTCCAGTGCACATTGTTCTTCCAATATTTGTACACACATTCACTGTAACGACATTCAACTCCCCCGGCAAAAATAATTTATAAAGAAGCATTGCTAGGGAGTGCATTCCTTCGCGTTAGCCCAGCTGCAAGCTGGCAGCATGCAGAGCCCAGGAGTGAGCTCCCTCCTCCAGACAAGATGGTTATTCAGCATAGCTCTGTCTGCAAAGCATAAAGCAGGTACCCTCTGCCAGACGCTCCGGTGGACAGCCATCTCTGCCCACAAAGCCATACAGCCTCTGTGCCTCCAGCTTCCTCCCCGACCTTTCACTACAGCATTTTGCAGAGTTCTTCAGGTTTCTGTTCAATTTATTTCAGTCCGTGAGCAATTGGCCGGGACACCTGTGTCAGGATATTGGTTGCACCCATAACCACAAGGCTATATCCTGAGTCCACAGCTGCCAGCTCGGTGAAAGATGCTCTTTGGATGTCATGGGGCAGAAGAGACTGTGGCACCAGAGTGGGCAACGATACCCTGAGCTGGGAGACTTTGCTCTCACACAACTCCACGTGCCAGTTAAATGGCGCGATGTTTTGTGCTTGCTCAGATGCTGCAGGTCATTTGCCACATGGAATTTTCTTTTGCCTTGACAGGCACTGACGCTCTGTTCTC